TTTTTTAAAAAATATTTTTTAAATTTTAATATCAAGTTAGCACCATATTAAAATTCATTGTTTCATTATCTAATTATTGAAAATAAAGATATGAGTTTAGGAATAATACTGATATTGTAGACTGCAGTCTTTTATATTTGTTTTTAACGTACATTTTTTCATAATTTTTTTTTAAATGATTCTTAAAATTCATTTGCCCGCGGGCGCCCACGTCCCCCTTCCCATTTTTATTTTTAAATTTAAATTCTAACATATTTTTTTTAAATTTAAACTACGTTCTGAAATGAAGCTTGCAGAAAGTATTATATTATAACTCATGTTGGTACTTTATCCAACACAATAATTATTGATCAGATTTGATTCATCTTGCGTGCAAACATGGGTGCAATGTCAATTAAAGTCAGTCTTTAGTTATAAGTGTTATAACTTATAAGTAGTGCTGGAGGGTTGCAGCATTTGCTAATTTTTATTAATTTTTGGCTCTAGCAGACAGTGCCACTGAAACTCTTTTCCACATTATGTTACAATTATCTCAAATATTAAATTTGAAAATTCTGTTCTTAGTACAGGTAGGTCAAGCAATATAGTGGTTGTCAACGTTAGAATAACTTATTAAATGAAAATGAAAATGAACAATTTTGTGGAAAAAAATAGCCTTGTAAGTCGATTTTCTGTTAATTAATTTGATAATTAAATTCTTTTACAATTTACATGATATCAGTATTTATTAGTTTTGCTGACACAGAATTTAGAATTATGTTTTGTACATTGAACTTTTACTGCTGAACCGTCAGTTCGTCAGTATAACTAAATTTAGAGACATGCAACTTCTATAAAAAGAATGGCTGCAAATATCATGCTGTATTTATCAATTATTAATTCACAATTTATGGGTGTCACGTAAATACATCACGGTAAATTAGGCGCGGCAAGTTGGGCGCCGGTGTAATATCGTCGCACGTAGTTTCGGCGAGTGACGATACATGCCTTATGTACAATATTTTATACTTTATTATAAATACCTAGTTTGAAAACAATATGCATAACTTATTGGGAAGTATAAAATATAATTTAAGTCAAATAAGTCAAAATAGTTTTAAATTTTAAAAATATAAATTAAATTGTTCCACAGATAGCTAATAATAATAAAAACAAAAATGTATACAAATAAAGTTCTAAATTATAATTGCAACTGGAAATTAACAGCTATCCCATGTAAATACACGGCACTGTATAATTGTATAAATCGTAACAATTATCGTTGTCTATATTGCGGTACCTCGTACCTATCTAAATTATAGGTAAAATGATAGGCTCGTGACTCGATGATTTGTGATTATAAATCCTATAATGTGTTATGTTTACTTTTGAACTTTGTATTTTACCGTCAGTCCATCGTCAACGCTTGTTACCGATTTGTTACGATTTATACAATTATACAGTGCCGTGTATTTACATATAAATCGTAACAAATCGGTAACAAGCGTTGACGATGGACTGACGGTAAAATACAAAGTTCAAAAGTAAACATAAAACATTATAGGATTTATAATCACAAATCATCGAGTCACGAGCCTATCATTTTACCTATAATTTAGATAGGTACCGCAATATAGACAACGATAATTTAAAACGATCATAATTTAGATACTCGACGATATCATTAAATTGACGCGATCTAATACAAAACGACTATATGACGCGCGATAATATTACACTGCGACCAATTTACTGCGCCTAAATTCCCGCGCCCAATTTATCGCGCCCAACTTACTGCGACCAAATCACATGGAACCCAATTTATGTGCTCAATTGACTAGTATAGTAGTATACTACTTTTATATAGTGTTTATTGTTTAATATACAAAATACAACATCAATATAATATTATATTTAACAACATTGACTGACCTACTCACCTTATTTGTCCTTATATGCATTAACATGTAATTGGGTGTTTATTTTGATGGTATAGTATCTATGGCTGTAAATAAAGACCTATTCGAACGACGTCGACAAACGTTTAACTTCACTTCTATTCTACAATTGCATATCTAACTACCAACATGAGCAACCTATGATGAGACCGAGTAACTATTTTATAGGATAACCTTGTGACTACAGAGTACAAAACCAAAAACTCAAAGTAATATAATGTAATTTATTGAATTTAAAAAAAAAGAAACGACGACGCTTTGCCGCCATTCGGTCTGGCCGAATCAGTTTTATTTTTGTTATTTCGCTCCTATCGTTTTTTATTCACTTTCCATTTTTTCTTCCAGGAGTACGTAAATCACATGTTCGCTCACCAATATTATCATGACGATGAACGAAATCGGCATTCGCATTCGCCGACATTTGATATTGATAATATGAAATTTATTAAATACACTTCACAGCCATAGTTCCACACACGTTTTTGGGCTCAACATAACTTTGTAATATACTATTACTATACCCGGACAGACTAGGCCCAATTAGCCCATCAATAATCGTCGTTGACAACCGGAAACATGGCCACCATGTTGAAGACCAGTAAATTAATTTGCTACACCCGTAAGTCCGACCATCTTTCTTAGACAATGTCCTCGGACGTGGTTTTTCTAATGACCTCATCGTTTTATTTCCAGTGCCCAAGAACAAATCGCCAGCACAGCTGAACAGATACTTTCAGACACTGCGCGTGAGTATAAAGGATAAGGCGTATATCTGTTTTTTTAAATTTCATTACCGACCATTTGTATTTTGCTCAGAAATACAATGTTCCCCTGCAGAGGTGCTTAAACGATGTCCTACGAAGACCGAATACCGTCAGTCCGGTTGTGGGTTGTGCTCGAATGTACGCTGCCCCATCTGAAAAGAAAGTATTCCAGAGGGTCAAACCGCATTGTAACATTGGCACCATTGGACAAGTAGATCACGGCAAAACAACACTCACGGCTGCCATCACTAAAAGTAATGTCTCATTTTAACAGATCTTGAGTACCAATGTACCTCTTAACTATTATGAACATTGGCTAACTTTATACATCTATCAGTCCAGTTGTATAATTTTCTTGAATTTAATCTAATAACTGATAATTACTTGGAACTATGATAATTAATATATTAGTGATTTCCTTATAGTTAGATGGACAAAATAAAATGTATTATATTTTTCATAGATATCAAATATTACATTACATATTACAGTATCAATAAAGTCATCAGCTTAAAAAAAAAGAACAAGTGAAATATTAGACCATATTATAGATATATATACTATAAATAATACAATGGGTAAACTAGTATAACCATAATTTTCATGTCCAAAAGGGGGTCACTTACCAAAACAATTATTATTATTATTATTTAAGGGGTTAGTATAGTTTTTATTAAATGAAATATTATTAGCTAAGTAATAATATACAGCATTTGATTTTTAGTTTTATCATCAAAAAAAATGGCTAAGATGAAACAATATGCTGACATTGATAACGCGCCTGAAGAAAAAGCCCGTGGAATCACCATTAATGTTGCTCATGTTGAGTATGAAACTGAAGCTAGACATTACAGCCACACTGACTGCCCAGGACATGCTGATTACATTAAGGTAAAAAAAAAAAATCAATGAAATATTTATTTATATCATTGCTTTTATTACTAGAACATGATCACTGGAACTAATCAAATGGATGGAGCTATTTTAGTAGTGGCTGCAACTGATGGCGCTATGCCTCAGACCAGAGAACATTTATTATTAGCTAAACAAATAGGAATCGGACATATTATTGTATTCATTAATAAAGTAGATGCAGCTGATTCAGAAATGGTTGAATTAGTTGAAATGGAAATTAGGGAACTACTGACTGAAATGGGTTTTGATGGCGAAAATTTACCAGTTATCAAAGGTTCAGCACTATGTGCACTTGAAGGAAGAGAACCTGAAATTGGTAATACAATATTTTTTTTCTATATTCCAGAGTTATGTAATATAGAATTTTATGTATAGGAGAAAAAGCTATTGAAACTCTACTGGCCGAAGTAGATAAATATGTTCCACAGCCAATTCGTGATTTAGATAAACCCTTCATGTTGCCAGTAGAACATGTTTACTCCATTCCAGGACGTGGCACAGTGGTAACTGGCAGATTAGAACGTGGCATAATTAAAAAAGGAAATGAATGTGAATTTGTTGGTTATAACAAAGTTATAAAATCTACAATCACAGGTAATTCAATACTTATATAAATAATTGTTAACAATCCCCTTAAAAGGTCACCACACCAGCATGTGTTGTCTTCATCTTACTGAAGCTTCACATGGCAAATTGTATGTTCCGAATAATCAATTTAGCTATATTAGGACTAATACTAGAGCAAATTAACCTAGTATCAAATTTAGAAGTAAGAATATTTTCTAATGAACAAGTTATGAGTATTTTAAAATTCACAAACAATTAACAATATTAATCATGACAATTAACAGAGTTAATTTATTCAATCAGAACGTATAATTTTCCCTATTATGCTTTAGTAAGATGGAAACAACTTATATGGTATTAGATATTTCAGAATATGATGGTGAACACCAGACAGTAATAAATTATGTTTACTTCATGTCATAATATTATAATAATACTATATAGTATTCTAATTTCTAATACATATTTGATTCATGAAATAAAAACATATTAACACTTGTGATCTATTTTATAACCTTCTGTATTAATAATAAATTATACAGTAGTTTTTAATATATAACACTTAGAGTAAAAATCAATAAATGTACATTACTCACTCCTATTTATTATAGTTTATAGAAATAATTAGATGAATTGCTTTCAGGTAATAAAAAACCCTATTGTGTGTTATCTGATCTAATATCAAATAATTAAAATGTGTGATCAATTAAATAGTATTTTGATCAAACATTTATATTTTAATTACAGTATAACAAAATATAGTTACTGTTATGTTATCCCCCTGCTACAAGCCTTTAAAATGTTCTCACTATAAATATTTCATTTTTTAATTGCACTAAGTTTGACAAAAATATACTATATTAACCTATCTTATACTAGCACTTAATTTAACGTTTAGTCTTGATGGTCGAGGTCTATGACTAAATTGACTATTTATAATACTGTTCGCAAACAACCATAATAATATATTATTACTAAATATTATTATACTTTATACTGTGGAATAAAAAAGTATCAAAGCAGGTTAGTTACCTAACCAAAACAGGTACAGCTTATGATTATAACTATATGCTTATAAGTTATAACTATAACAGGATTGCGAGTCGAAGTTGCTGTCTGCTCGAGGAAGTGTGTTCTTATTCCGCATAGAATAGATTGTAGTGCATATATTCATACACTAGTACAAAAAAGATTTTATTTTTTACTGACTCATGTATTACCTAATAGTCAAACACTTAAATATTTGTATCCATGTGTTATTCAACAGTATGCCACATAGCATATAATGTGTAAAAGCAATTAGAGCATTTAAAATTGTGTTTCATCATAAATGTAAAGTGATAAATCATCTAATTTCAAAATACTTATTTTAAGGAGTTGAGATGTTCCACAAAATCCTTGAGGAAGCTCAAGCAGGAGATCAGCTGGGGGCTTTAATTAAAGGAACAAAACGGGATGATTTGAGACGTGGTATGGTATTGGCCAAACCAGGAACTGTCAAAATGCAAGATTTTGTCTCCACACAGGTGTATGTGTTAAACAAAGATGAAGGTGGAAATGGTAAACCACTAGTACCCTTCCAGCAAATGCAAATGTACTCAAAGACTTGGGACTGTGCCTGCCAATTAAATATTGTCGGCAAAGAGATGGTTATGCCTGGTGAAGATTGTTCGTAAGTGTTAACGTTTTTATAAGACTTTTAGCATAATTATTAGTAATTACTAATTAAAATTATTTAAACATATTACATATATTTAATATTTTTATACAATTATTATAATGTGGATCTTAAAATTAAACCGAGGTAGAAAGGTTAGATTAGAAAATTGCATGGTAAACCGAAAATGAAGAATACTTTGCAGTGTAATATATTTATAACAATTTTGATATAAATTAAGACATTTCTAAGCGTCACTAATAAACACTGTGTCGAAGTAGAGTAAGATAAAGTACAAATTTTTATCGGTTTATAAATTATAACTTAGATTAACTATTTTTAGAAAACTGCTATGGTATGTACTATATACCATAATCTACATTCTTCGTTGGTAGATTCTTCACTGACTACTCTACTCTTCAAATCTTATAATCTCAATCAATATTTCCGTTGATAAATATTGTCTTTTATTCCTGATTATTCAACCTGTTAGGTCATTTTTACTATATTACACTGTAGATACCCAATAATTCTCACTGTATATGTGTTTTGTAGGTATTGGTAATAATAATGGAGTGTTATGCTGGTACTAAACCAGCCACAGAAAAAATTAAATTGTGATACCTACATTATAGTAAATTATTAAAATATCAAATATCGCAACAACAAAAAATTGGACCGTAACAAGTATTGTCCATGTATTGAATTATGACGAGAACCAATAAATTTTACACTTATAGCTTTTTATTGTGAGGGACCAACTATCCTAAATCTAGTTATCGCCTAGTACTGCATACAACATTCTTATTCAAATATAATAGTAATAATAATAGAAATAAAAAGTTTAATATAAGTAAATCAACAGAATTTTGGTTTTTCTAGTCACCTAATTATATTTAAACACTTGATAAAGGCCTGACTAAGTTATTATGTATATTAATGATAGAATAAATTATTATGTTATGTTTGTTTTAAAATGTATAATATGGTGATTTGTAATACTGTGATAATCTTTATTATGTCTAATAATTATAAATGCATTGTTCTAGTATTGAGTTGAAGATGATCAGACCCATGGTTCTTGAGAAGGGGCAACGATTCACGTTGCGTGTGGCTGGTGCTACAGTCGGTACTGGAGTGGTTACTGAAATTAAGAAAAGATTATTGGATGATGAAAGGCGAGGATTGTTGGAAGGTAAAAAAGCCCGAGAAAAGAGAAATGCAGTGTAGGTTATTAGTATTCTTCAACAACATTGCAACTCCAGTATGTACATAAAGTCATCATTATGTGTATCTCTGTACTCGGTCACAAAGTGCATTATTGATAACATTGTAGATTTAATATATTTAAATGTAAGCACTATCGTATGTTGTAACAGTTATGTTATACTTTTGAACGTATGTCAAAAAAATAAAATACATTTTATTTAAGCAACCGTTTTATTTTGTACTATCAATCATACTGAAAATAATGAAAATTTTACATAGTCAGTGGTATAAAGGTTATTATAATATATCATATGTATTATATAATGGATCCTATAGCTTGTCACCGTTCATAGAATAATTACCACATTCTCGATTCAAATTAAATTATTCAAAAGTTATGCACTACTTGACAGTAACATGAGGGTTATTGTGATAAAATTGTCTCAAAGCTAAAATGTGGTGGATACTGGTGGTCAGTGGTTACCTAGTATCTAGGTACTGAGAAATTATGGTGTATTTACTATTTAAGTTCTCTGTATTATACATTATAATAAATTTGTATTTTTGACTTATAATCTTAAGACAGCTAGGTAGTAATATTAGATGAAATAATATTTAATACAAAGGGTGTTCAAAAAGTATGGAAATGTTCGTCAGACTAATTAGGACTGTTAAAAAATAATATGATATTATTAATGAAGTGATTAAATATTTTACCTAATAAATGTGCAGCAGTGTTATCTATTATAACTTATTGCTATAAGTAAGTAAAATAATATGTAAACAGTAATTAGTGTTTCCACATTCTTTGAACACATGTAAGCTATTTGTTTTGGCAAGTAATTAATTACTTACAAGTTACAATACTGCATTACTAATTGAAAAAATATAATATCAATTTTAAAAAATAAATACAATGTTATACAATAATAAATGGTGTGTTATAATAACACACTTATCCTTATAGAAATGTAAACTGTAAACTGACAGATGGTCTCTACAATCTTTACCCAATCCCCTTTGTCCTATGTATAATGATTTATCATTGAATTTATAATCAAAAATATGTCCATTACAGTAACAAGTAACACTCAGTACAATTGAGTATAGTCAATGAAATACACTCGATAGATATCTTATATTACCAGAGTAACTTGCTTGGTTTATTAAAAAAATTCACATTCAAATGTATTGAATGAGTTGGTACTTGCCTGCTCTACTCTCAATTATAAAAATGTAAACATAGTTACCTAATAGTTTATTATTATCTTTAAATGACAATTTAATAGTAGGTGTATGTATATTGGAAATGTGATTATTTTTTGTACATTTTGTTTTAATTTAAACATTTTTCATAGACTTATCTCTCGTTTTCTTATTGATTTTTGTTGTGTTCAGATTGTATTTGACTATGTCATACTGTCGTGTACTCGTGTATTAAACCTATACTTGAGCTATTCTCCTAAAGGATGTGCATTGTTTACTTAGTGCATACAATGATATAACTGGTGTTGAGGATTGGAAATTTGGATTTTTACGACGCGTTTTGTTAATGCTCACCACATTCTCTCGGCTCACAAGAGCAGTGAGATGTTATTATAGACATAATGAAGACTGCAGGCATGTGCCTGTTTTTCCTATACTGTACAGTGTACACCGAGCAATATTTAGTGTTTATTATAATTATCTATATTTATACTTAAAAAGTCTGAAAATAATTTCACCGACAGTGTTTAGACCGAAAACAGTTTAATCAAAAATAATTTAGCTGACAGTACTTCATCGGTCATCCAACAAATAACTATTTCTGATGACAACATTTTTTTTTTTTTTTCGTAAGACAATGAACTCTGTATTGTAGGACCATAGTATAGGTATACTATACTTATTAAATGTGCTTAAGGCTTGAAAAAATATTTGTTTGATTGAAATAAGTAGGTACCTATGCATTAAATTAACAATTCGAACATAAAACATTTATACCACAACACAATTCTACCTATTAATTAACTTTTAGTTTATGTTTTTAATTAATAAATGTATCTATGATTCTTAATTATAATGTTAAAGGTATAAAGATAAGGTTTAAGGTGTAAAGATTTTAAGATTTTTACACCAACATGGTTTTTAAAAAAAAATAACAGATTATAAGTAGGTACTCGTAATTCGTATTATATTATCGGACAATCAACATTATTTTTAGATTTCTACTAAAACTATGTATTTACAGTTTACACTTGTAATAGATTTTTATAATGCATTTTTAAAACTTTTTATTGTAATTTATACTAAAATTATTAAAAAATAAAAAAAATTGTAGATCATAAAAGCATTTTTTTAGGGCATTATTTAGAGTTTTTAGGTCATAAAAGCATTTTTTTTAGGACATTTTTCGGGTTTTTTTAGAGCATTAAAATCCCAGCCCTTTATCATTTATCATTATGCGTGGTGGTGAGAAATGGCGTTATACACGATGGTGCGTATCTGTGCAGTGCCAGGAACGTTATTCTAATTGAAAAAAATATTCATAAATTATTGATGTAGAAATGTTTGGACGTTAAGAATCGGATTCGTTTTAAATTGCTATTACGTTTTTATAAAGACAATTATTTGACGAAACATCAAGCAGGACATCATCATTCCGTGTCGAGAACTATAATCAAGTAGATAATATAAAGTCTGAACAATTTTTCGTCCTGCGAAACCGGCACTGCATAACATATTGTGTATAGTATAATAAAATATAATAATAGGTACCTGCGTCCTGCATGGATATATTATATATTATTATACCATTAATTACCGTGCCACAACCTTCAACGAAGGCCCAAATACCAAGCAACTGTAAGTTTTTTAAAAATCGTTATTGATCGTTAGGTTAGGTTAGTCATAAACTTATAACTCATTAATTTTTTGGTATTGTCACTAAGTTTGTAATGTAGATAAAAGTCTTAGTTAGCTTAACTATAAATTTGTTCGACCAAACTATACTAAAAAGTATTTAGCCCTAGAAAAATATAGTAAAACCAACTGCCAACTGCATATATCAGTTTGAATAACTATAATAGCTTGACTATAATATTTTAGTGAATCTGAATAACCTTATAGCTATCCCTATAGCAATTATAAAATACAGTCAATCCTACTATTTTTATAGTTTTATAGTTTTTTCCGTAAAACCCTCTCCTGTGTTCGACCGACCAAACCTGACATTAAGCTTTCAAACATATGATTATAACGTATCTTATAAATAATATGTATATTAAATCCGTATGTACATTTAAATTCAAAGGTTAATCTATAAATATTCAATTAAATCCACATATAATTAAATAATATAATATATACTGTTACAAATATTGTACAATCATATTATACAAATCGTGAATAAAGAATGAATTTATTTTGATTGATGTTCAGTATGTTTATGTATAATTAATGTAATAATAGGTATACTTGTCTTAAAATACTTAAAGTATATATCTAAACACATTAACATGCACTACTATGTAGTTGGTCGGTCGACGAGGCAAGTCATCAATTTCAGCAAATCCCTTACCTATGTCTGATAGTTAGTGTCTGATTGTTCTAAGCACTGTCATATTAAACTATAATAATATAGTCTATGGTCCCTGGTAAGTTGACAAACAGGTAAACGCTTTTTCTTATAGGTGTTTAAGTACCTAGCATAACAGTCGTCGACATTTATTAAGATAAATGTTTGAATTTAGGTTTGTCTAAAATGGTTATCGGGACAATAATTGTGTCGCAGAACGAGGACAATCTGATGATAAACATGCGATTAATGAAAAAAACTGGATTCTACCAATTATTGGATTCGCGCAGTCTAAAAGTGTTTGGTCACAACGTATTTAAATGCATGTCCGTAGTTCAAATTTCGATCCTCTTGTCAATAGCCGTTATATTTGTTCTAAACATATATTATTTTTCGGACGACATTAATACAGTAATGATGTATTCGATGTTGATTACGTCCGACGTGCTCTCGATTTTAAAATTATATTACATACTCCAAAATTCGGACACAATATGGAACTGCATACAGCTGACATCCATCGACGATTTGTCTTACAAGTACCACGATAGACGCATACTCGAAGAGGGCCGATTGAAGTCGAAATCGTATTCGTTACTAATTATTTTTATGTGGATGTACCTCATAATATCTTGGGGAATGGCTCCGCTGTTTGTCACGAACTATTTTTTAACCGTAGAAGTCAACAACCAGATTCACCGTTACCGCTTCAACGTACTGAATTACGTGTTCCCGGCAACCGATCAGTTCTACAACGACAATTTCGTGTTTTATTACTGTGTTGAATTGCTCACCCTGGTGCTGTGGGGTCATTGCACGATGAATTTCGATATATTACTGCTGTCCATGATCATTACGTTCAAGTATCAGTTAAAAACTGTTGCGAATTCTTTCAGCTCGTTCGATTTCACACACGATGCTTTAAAGAGTAAGTTATACCTGTATAACTACGCATGTGCCTGCGTTATAATTTTTCTATACAGCCATATAGGGCAGGTATATTTAAATAATTACAAGTCTACATCGGTTACCGTTGTTTTTTTCGTTCTCGTGCCGATATCAAGATGATCGTACGAAAATGATTAAACGTCAAAAAGAACCAGAATCGATATCGGATTACAAGAGTTTGATTTACGACCACCAGCGTGTTATCGAGTAAGTTTAAAGCTATGTAAACCAGCTATTGTGACTATTCATTTTAAGTTTATTTCTGATTCAAATGTTAGAAACATACGAATTAAAATTCGTATGTTCGTACAATATTATAGACATATAAAATAGTGGTCCTATAGACTTGGACTATGTTTATTTTTATTTTTCTCGAAATTATTATGACCAAAATAAGATGCATCAGTACCCAACGGAGAGGGGGGGTTAGGTTTGTAAACTTTTATTGTTTATGCTTGAAAAAAAACTAGGTTAAGGTTAAATACTCTACTATACTTTTGAATAAAGTAATTTTTTTTTGTAGGCACATTCTCATAAAGGTAGCACAAAAGATTTTAAATTATCTTATAATATAATAAATATTTTTTCAGTGAAATCTTTAATCATACATATTAAATAGTAATAATATTTAAATAAGAATTACCTATACTCCATGAAATCAAAATTCATTATAGTATATTCTAGTGCCTAAAAAAATAATTGTTTTAATATATGATCGATGTGTGATACAAAGTAGTTTCTTCCACTAAACTAATGCTGTGAATTGTGATTCTGATTCATGAATAAAATAATTGTTGTTATTTAATTTCAGAAACATGAGAAACATTTACCGAGTATTTCGACCTGTGGTACTTACTCAACTAGCTTCCGAGTCTGTCATAATAATGCTACTGTCCTGTATCACAATGATGGTAAAATACATTTTATTTAGTTTATTATCATTATATTTTTATAAATAGATATCTACATATTATGTGAGAAATTGGATATTTATGGGTGGCGCTTTTGCATTATTCAGAACTATTTTAATGGTATGTCATTGTTATCTGCGATGAACTTGAGACTATTTGCAGCAATATCGACGTTTACATTTCATATATATGTTATCTGCTACTTATTCGACGACGTTAACGAACAAGTAGGTTACATAATTAAATAAGACTAAACTTTAATTAGTTCTATTATTACGTACATAAAACTGTTAATTATTTTTAATAGTTTTTTGTATAATATTATACTTTCAACGCTTTTATTCATCGTAAATCCTTAGTGTATATATAGGTACTTCATACAATAATGTATCTACGTTAGTAATTAGTATACATTCTATGGTAATGAATCTACATTCTACACTACTGCCAGGCTGTCTGCTATACTTAAACTGACTGGTCACTTGTTAGATACGTACAGACCAATATCAAGTGACATCTTGCGTTTTAATTTTGTTTGAATAAAACTTATATTATAATATACATTAAGAATTAATTTTGGTTAATTCTTCTTTCTACGTTCTACCCCCTTTATTACTCAACACCACACCACTTCCGAACTACGACCACATTATCTACCGCAATACACCTGTGGAAAGACCACGTCACACATTATTATTTTAGTACAAAATATAAATGTAGCCTGTTGGTAATTCTTCAAATCTCGAATGATTTAATAATACTTAATTATTTACCTAATTTATATTGAATATACCTCATCAATCTACCGACTTATTCAACCATCTTACGTCGTTCTTCACATTATTTTTAGAAAGATTCGATAAATCTTGCTTTGTACAGCAGTGATTGGACGCCAAGCAATTTACAACATAAAATTCTACTACTGCATGCCATGCGGATGAATAACGCAGAAAACTTGAGAATCCAAGTGACGAAAAGTAGAATAGTAAATTTCAAAATGTTTACCGATGTACGTATGATTTTCTTCTCTTTTTATTAGTGTGTATTACGGGCATGCCTCTTATTAAAAATATAATTTTGTGAAATTAGGTAAGTATATATTTTATATTGATTCACCATTCGCCCGCTGTTCGTATAGGTACGTAGCGATATCTTGCGTACCTGCAGATAAGGTGATGGATATAGGTCATAGGATGAGGTAAAGTTGTACAAATTGGGTAGTCTGATTAATTTGTTAGTTTGTTGTATTTAAATACTCCATGCCTACCATATAATATAACATAAATTTTATCAAGATACAGATTAATTTAACTGAGCTGAAAATTATCTAGATAAGATAAATGACCGTCAATAATTGTTATCTAGACATTTCCCAACACGGCGTCTGAGGCCAATCGCCAATGGTTATATGGTAATTAGTATTTACCATATAATTACTAATTACTAATTACTAATTATTAAGGTATACTATCATATTATTATTTATTATTACGTATACATGTATATTGTATAGCGATCGCCAGTGTGTAGCAGGTAAAGACCTGCACGGGCCAGGTTTACGCAGACCAGCCCAGAATTGGCCCGGTCCGATTCTATAAAATGCAAGACTGGACAGGCTGGCCCTCTATTAGGACAAAAGTTACGGGCCAGGCTTCTACGTAAAAATTAGAAATTCTAGCAGGATCAAAATTATAAACAAAAAAAAAAACATTATATTATCGAGTATAAATTATAGACACGTACAAGTGAAGTACGACGAAATCTACTAGGATTACTAACCAAAAATAAATTATTCGCAGGCTGGACCGGGCATTCTAAACAATTTACCAGGCCGGACCGGGCTGAAAATGATCAGCCCGTGCAGGCCTCTAGTAGCAGGACGGCTATGACGTGTCTATATACCTATTGTTTTAACTTATTATTTAATCCAACGGCGTACGCTGTGTAAACGAATCTAGTGCAAGCAAAATTGAAAAGTGTACCTACATTAAAACGCAATTATATAATATATTATGCTCTTACGTATGTTCATAGATCATGCGGACGACGTATTCAATATTATCAGTGTTGGAAAAGATGTGTGCAAACAAGACGTGAACTATAATATGATGAAACTGGTAGTGTACGTTGTATTTAAAACGTTTGAAATATTACATTATTATAACATAGTCTATATAGTATCCAAAATAAACACAAAAAATAGAATATATACCTATATATAGATCCTGTTGGTCGTTTGAATGTATAATTCTTATTTGTCCATCGAAATAGTTTTAAGAGAGGGTTTTCTGTAATTGTTTGCATATTTCATTTACAATAATATTATTATTATTGATCTCAAAATTACAATTTTAAATACAATAATTTTTAATTGTTTACATTATTTCACTAGAATTTATGTGTTCTTGACAGTATTGTGCGTTATCTAGATAAAAATATTTATCTTTTCGCATTATCTGGATAAAATAAATACACAGTGTTTTTTTGTCTTATCTTAATAAATAAAACCGTCATAATTATGTCATATTTATCTGTAGATAATCAGATAACATTTTTATTAATTTCACTTAACTTTTTCTGTTTTCCTAACATTTTTAGAATTTGAAATTGAAAACAATGCACTAAATGCCTCAATACTATTCAGAAGCATCATAGCCCATCGGAACTGCGTAATTGTGAAATGTGTATTTAAAACCAAACAAAATACATTTTTTAAATTTAACTATCTGCATTAATTTAGCATGGTGTGCTGTGGCGGGGATTTCGGCTTTAGTTACACAAGTTTCCTGAACCACCCGGGTGGGTTCTTAGTCACAAATCCTTGCCACACACACATACACGTGTTCCGAACATATCCGTGCTCCCACATTAAAATCCATCAAAAAAACCATGCAGATGACATCGTAAAAACGTAAAAAAAAGTGTTTAAAAAATTTTACTGAATAATTCCGTTTCCCGATAACTTTTTTCGTTTTTCCCGATGTTTTTGAAAACTATTGGGAAAGTACAAAATTGAAAGATAGTTTTCAGCATAATACCAAAAGTTACATTTTTGCAAAAATATTAATTTTAACTAGGAAAAGGATAGAAAAACGTTTTTATAGTGAAAATTATGTTACTTAAATTTTAAAGAAGTAGAAGCGTATTTTGACTTTCCAAATTGGGCATTACAAATTACCATTCATATACAAATGGCAAATAAAACGTTGACTGTAAGAAATTTTGAATTGTAATTTTCTTCGAATTTCTTGAACGATAAGCTAGCAATTTAAGGTGCCCGTGCCAAGACAAATCCGGCATCTTTAAGCGCAGGTGATTATCACTTATATTATATAGTCATATATGTTTTTACTCCAATGTTCCCGTTACGAAACTAATCAATGCATATTTATTAATTCTTTTTATTTTTGAGTAAATTTCACTCTATATTTCAAACACAATACGTAAATAGGATAATTTAGAATAATAATCGTAAATAACATAATTCATTATCTCGTCATATATTTATTAAAATAAGTAAAATAATATACAACCAACTATCAGTCTGCACTCCGTTTATGAGCTATACTATAGCTTAGCTATACTTATGCTATAGGCTACAACACGTTTATAATTGTATAAAATCACAAAATGTTTAGTAAACGTAATATAGGTAACAGAAAAAAAAGGTATATAAGACAGAAATAGTTCTAATTTAGCAATTAGTATCGCCCTTCTTCATTTACCAACGCTCTGACCAAACCGCTGGGGTCAATAGTTTGACATTTTGTACACAGAAGGTTCCTTGAGCAATGTAGGGGTGAACTAAGAAAGGATGTTTCAAAATTCGACCTCTATGGGGGTAAGAGGGTTTTTTTATATAGCTAAATAATACACGGGCAACGCCGTGACGGGACAGCTAGTAGCCCATATGAGAAAAACATGTGCAAAATATTGAGTATTTAGTCTCCTTTTAAATGAAATACATACTTTATACTTAATTATGATGTACATTTTACGTAGTAGGTAGGTACATAATAAATTTCAGGACATCGTCGTAAAGTCATTCAATCAAAACCTCGATGGGCGAGAATATATAATAATGAATAATAATATTCTAAGCATCCACATGGTTGAATTTGGTTTTAATGCCGGCGGTGTTTTATTCGAGTGTTCCCATTGAAATCAACACCCACTTGTTTGTTTAAGCATACATTTATTTAAGTAACATTTAACAAGATTATACATTTTATAGCTCAAATGATCGAACACCGACTTTATTACATGCCTATTGTATAGTAAATAGTACTAAGTTCTGCACTAAATACTATTAGTGACTATTGCTTACATTAGTACATACAGCAACTAACAGGTTGCGGTCACCTTAATACAGCGCAGCAAAACATGCACCAGACGAATCTTTTCGTCCGGCTTCACATCATGCGACACCATTTGGGCTGGATGGACTCGCCGGCCAACAACTCCTGCACAGTGGCGTCAATGCATTCGCCATGGGTTTCCGGTTCCGGGCGGTTCACCAGTAAAAAATGTATGTGGATATTGGGCGCTAAGGACCATCGAATCAGCGTTGAACAGCATCCGAATTCGCTGATCTACCGGACGTCAGGCGATGTTTCCGGAAGTTCCAGCGCCGGCACGGACGTACACGATGAAGTGTCCATTCCTTTTGGCGTATCCACTATGGGGGGATTTACCATATCGTCCACCAGTGACATGTAGTAATGGAACTTCGATCCAGCGTAGTTAGCCACGGATATCTTATGATCCGATGGGCTGGATGTCAGTCCGTTTTGTCCAATCCCGTCGGACAGCGCAAGAGGCATTGACGCTTTAACCCACTAGGCCATACATGACCGCTTATACCCTTAGCGTTATTTTCACTCAATGAACTAGGCAAATAAAAATAATAATTTATTTTTATAAAATATTAAATATTATGTATAGTATTAAATATAACATTAGCTATATTATTGGATGTGACCAATTTCTATATAGGCGGCTAGGCGGCTTTTTCAAAGAATTGTCGTGAGCATGGGTCGTCCTTTGGCGGCAGATATCCTTTTTGACCTTCCTTTTTATGTAGCGCTTTTACCGTTATACCACTTTCTTAGGCCGTAGCCTCTCTTTATCGTTTTACTAGATGTGACCGATTTCTATGTAGGCGGCAAAGAATTATCGTGAGCATGCTATCCCTCCTATAGTCAGACAATTGTATACGTTAACGGACATGTAGTAACATGCAATACCCCTGCAAGAACATGCAGATGTTTACCAACCAAATAATAGACTCCGGGGTTAGTAGAAATGTCTTCACTCTTCATCCGCAAATAGGAAGACTTTTTTTTTTGATTTAAGCTTCGACAACTGAGGCCATTAGCTGTAGCCGCCTGTAGGTTGTGGTACTGTAGGGTTTGAGACTGTAGGGGGGGATACGTGTGTGTTTTTGTTTGGCAGAATTTCTATTGCGCACCCGTAGGTTTCTGCCATGCCCGGTTGGGGGATGGTGGCACTTGTTCTCCGGTCACCGCGACTTGTCCGGAGAAAAATGCCGCCCGGTGGCCGAGGATCGAACTGCGACCTAACCTAACCGCAACGGACGCGTCAGACCACTTGGTCACCTCGTCCCCCAAATAGGAAGATTGTATGGTACTACGCGAAAAATATCGGCGATACATTGATATATTCTGGTTTTCGCCGTCCACTAATGCCCGAGCTAATCAATTTATTAAAAACCCACGTACAAAAACACGCAATTAAATTTAATCTGGAAGCTACGTACAATCGTCCAAACGTGCCAAACTCATCGGAGAACCGGGCGTTTAAGACCTCGGCGGTTGAAATTTTCTCTGATAGCGACATTAGAACTTCATTGTAAAGAGGGCGTATATAAAATTGATGAAGGAGAAAGATGAGTATACCGAGAGAGGCAGCGGTTTCACCCTAGAGTCAATAGACGGTCTATTGTTGGTAGTGTATAAATATACACTACTAGGAGGAACATCGTATATAGTTACCGGCGTATATCGACAGGAAGCGGGGTACTATCAACCCGCAAAATGTAGACCAACAGTGTTTCAAGTGGGCGATTTTAGCGAGACATGTTACGGGACCGTCAGAATTTCATGTGGAGGGTGATAAATATACGAAGCATGAGAACAAATACAATTTTGAAGGTATATCATTCCCTACACCACTATCAGACATCGCTAAATTTGAGAAAAATAATAAAAATGTGTCAATAAATGTATACGGCCTCGACAAAAGAATTCAAGTACCTACCGAAATTGCCGAGGTATGCGGTCTACCCGCTACGTGTGGTCGACGAAGAAAAATCATACCATTTTGACCTGTTGGTGACGGACGGCGACGACTCGCACTATACGTATATATTTCAAATTTTTCCCGGCTAGTGCGGACTCAAAAAACTGCACATGACGACCGCGCTATTTTTTGTAAGAGGTGCTTCACCAGTTTCGACAACCAGAATTTGAAATTCAAGTTGAGCGGACAGGAGGCCCTCGACCAACACAAATTGATTTGTGGGAAGCACAAACCAATTTTTCCGGAGATGCCGAAGGAAGGTGATTGTGTTGAGTTCAGGGTCTCCTGTCCGCTCAACTTGAATTTCGAATTCTGGTTGTCGAAGCCGGTGAAACATCTCTTACAAAAAATAGCGCGGCCGTCATGTGCAGTTTTTTGGGTCCGCACTAGCCGGGTGCTCGGGGAACAGCAAGGATCAGCAAGAGCCAGTAGGACTATAGTAGGACCAGGGACCAGGGGCCAGTAGAGCCAGGGGGTAAGCCTTCTGAACTGTCTAAATCATACTACTTATAGTGACACGTGAGTGCACGTATGTGCGCTACAGATTTCCAAGAATCCTACTCTTATCTGTAGTTTATCATAAATTACACAAAGCGTTCAGCGAACTCACCTAAACTAATGATCAGTGACTACACAGTACACACACAGTCACACATCAGTACATCACCCATGATGGATAAAGGAAATTGCCCAAGTCCGGCCCCTTAAAAATGGTTAGCTTTCAACAGCCTTAACTATAATTTACTATGAAATAACATTAATCGTGTACTTCTGAAAAATACGCATTCACATTTGACGTAACATAGCAACAAACAAACAAATCAAAATATTAAAACTCTACCATGATACATCGCATATACTTAACTAAAAAATGAAACAAATTGAAGTCATAGCGGTACTGTCCGTCGAGTCGGACGAGGTTCGATTCACGGTGGTATCGACCAAGGACAGCAGCGAAGTGGTCACATCGGCCGAGACATTTCCGTTAATAACCGTAGACTCGAAAGACCACAGAGGCAACAAAAATAATGTAGTCGCGGAACGACAGTCTGTGGCGGCGGCGGCGGCGTCATGCGCCATGGTCAAGCAGAGGACGCCCTCGCCGGCGGTAACCGATGGGCGGCCGAACTGTTCCGCAGAGAGGGATCCTCCGATGAGCCCGGGCAACGTAGAACAGGACCCGGACATTATATGGGAAGCGGTGCTGCGGGTGATCGGCGACGCGGTGGACAAGATGTGTCGGTCCGGCACGCCGATCACGTACATTAAATCGGTGGCCATCGTCAACGAGATGGCCACGTTGGTAGCGTGGAACGCGGTCACCGGCAAAGCGGTGCACAACTTCATCCACTGGACGGACGTTAGAATGGTCAACGGCGGGACCGCCGCGGCCGTTAAATGGCTGCTCCAGCGGTCGACGGCAGTGCAATGCACCGCGGACGACTGCCGGTTTGGCACACTGGACGCGTGGCTGACGTGGAAGCTGACGGGCGGCGACACGTACCAAACGGATGTGACGAATGCGTCGTACACTGGGCTGCTGGACCTGACCACGCTGTGCTGGGACCGGGACGCCATGCGGTCCCAAGGTCTGACGGCAGCCGCTTGGCCAACTCTCCGCAGAGTGAACAAGCGCTCGGCGGCAGTGATCGTTGTCGGCCGCCTGAACGGGCTGTCCGTACATGTGACGATGGCCCGTCCTAGCGCCGTGTTATACGCACAGGCATGCTATCGCCGCGGGCAAGTGGCCGTCACGCTGACAGACCGGACGGCTGTGGTGCTGGGCGCACACGACCGCGGCCCACCACGTCAGCAGCCTGCCCTGGGACCATGGGCCGTGGTCGGTTACTGCGAGCCGAACATGGCTGACCGGAGACATCCGACAATAGTGTATGGCTTGCTGGCAGTGTCCAGGGCCAGCGCCGTCGTGTCCTGGCTAAAGAATATGGGCCTGACCAAGTCGTGGGACGAGTGCGTGAACACCTACGCTTCCAGCAAGCCGGCGATAACCGAACACCAGACGTACATGGTTCCGGCGTTCGGTGGCCTGCCGTCGGCACCATATGGACGGCCGGACGCGCGGCCCGTGGTGTGTGGCATCGGCGGCCACACCTGGCGAGTGCACTTGATCACCGCAGCCGTCGACTCGATCTGCCACAGCGTCAACGACATTGTCGGGTGCGTGGTGGCCGGTTCGGCTTCGAAACTCGCGGAACCCTTATACGTGGACGGACAGTGCGCGGAGCTGGACGGCCTGATGCAGCGGTTGGCAGACGTGTCTGGCAGTCGGATAGCGGTGAAACGGTTGGATATGGCCGTCAGCGGCGCGGCACGGATGGCCGCGGCCGCAATAAACGTGGATTACGCTGACCGACGAGAGGCCGTCTACTATGAACCGACTTCCACCGACGGACAGCGGTTGGCGTGGGACGGCCAATGGGCGAAGGCGGTGCGCAGGAGTTATGGCTGGGTAGCAATGGACGGCCGCGAGTTGAACGACCGGTATGCGGTGGTCCCTGCCGACCAGCGGGCCGGCCACTTCGGCATTTCACAGTTGGCCAATTTACTTCGACGCTTTGGTCTCTGGTACAACAGGAAGGTGAATGATCTCCTCTACTCCGTACGAAACTATTTGACACCCAGCCCTCGGCTGCACGACGTGAACACCGATACCTCACCCGGCTCACCCGTGACGAACGATAACGCATGCAAACTTTAACTCCACGTGAACGTCTAATAGCTTGCAAGAATAACGTTTAAATAATATTTTTATTTTAAACATTGAATTTTTCATCATGCGCCGTTATACTATACATGATTTTAAAATTATTCGAGAGATTCCGCATATTTTTTTGGTCAATGACTCGCTGTCACTTTTCAACCAGTTCATTTAAAAAAAATTGAGGTCACCGGACTGAATTATATTTTGTTTCCTTTAAAAGGAAACACTCCATGTCTATATATATATGATGTACTTTACATTTTGTATTGACATAGGAACGGGTACTTATTTTGTATTTTTGTTTATGACTCACATATCCACTACTCCACTATTAAAATCTATTACGGTCCGCGATTATTGGGTGATTAATTAAAAGTATAAATTAATCAGTGTCTCGGGTGTTTATTTAATTAGGTGAACATTACCACGCTAGTAGGTACGCTAGCTACTACAGGCGGTCCCACACGACTTGTGTACTTGGCCAATATTGGTCACTGGTGATATATGACCCACATGGGTCTTTGCTCCTACACGACTGGTGTATATTTACAAGTATTATCAATGCCCAGCACTGGTATACTTGTCATGGTAATTGTATATTCTCCCACACGAGTTGTATAGTTCACCAGTTAGTAAGTTTATCAAGTATGCAAGTCCCGGGCAAATGTAAACTGGGCCCGAAGTTACCTTTTTTGTTGTAAACTCGGCCCGGAAATTTCAGGTAGTAAAATAAATCAATTGTAAACTTGGCCCGAAAACATACATAGGAGAAGATTCTATGTTTCCGCCTGAAATGTGGGCCAGTGCATCAGTTGAAACGTATTTAACAACAAATGCATGTGAATCATTTCATGCGCATTTTAATTCAAGTTTTAATTCCACTCACCCCAATATTATAAGAAAAATCATGGTTTTTACACCTAAATTATTTTTACCTGAAAAAAATCGGGGCCGAGTTTACATCTAAACAATTTTGACCTGAAAAAAACCCAGGCCGAGTTTACCATCGACCTTTTGAAAATGTTTTTTCCTCGGGCCGAGTTTACAATCTCCCCAAGTCTCCTTGCACGGTCAGTCAAACGTCAGTCACCATGCAATGACATGAGTGGGAGCAAACACCAAGTTCAATGTAAACATTGGTGGTCCTTTGACTTGTGTCAGGTTTACCGATAATACACCGATACGAGGCAGTAACCAAAAATTGTACCAGCTCAACTTCCCACACGACTGGTCACTGGCCATCAGTGACCAACATTGGAAAAGTACACCAGTCGTGTGCCTTTAGGGTTTAAATTATTTACACCGAACGGCCAAGTTATTGCTGTAATTCTATGGATAAATAAAAATACAAAAATAACTAATAAGTAATAATCTCGTTGATTAACTTAGTTAAAAGTAACTTAATTTGTTTGATTAACTTTAACTTATTAACGACATTGCCTTGCCAATTATAGTAATTACCTCAGAGGTAGGCGATTATTATTAGTTATTACGGTCTAAATACTTAAGCACTTCTTATAGGAACACATTTGCAACGGGGTTCTATAGGATTGGTTATGACTTATGACAGTAATCAACATTCGGAAAATTATTTCTAAGAAAGGAACTAATTGCGGGAAGTGTACAGGCAGAAAAGGGTTATAGACGTTATAATAACAACATACAATTACGAAGGGCATAATAATTATCAAGGTTGATTAAACATTTTTTTATTTTTATGTATTTTATTTACACTTTACAGCCAGATAGACATATAGTTCTAACATTTGTGTCGTTAATTTTCAATTATTTATGAAAATCGTATCAATGATTTCCAATCAGTATTTATGTTTAACTGGCAAAAAAAACTTACGAAAATATTATGTAGATATGTGAAATTAAACCGCAGTTTTAAATTTTGAATTCATAAATTTTAATTTATATGTAAGAAAAATTGTATATCCTCCACGGGCTCCACCTGTCTATTTTAAAAAGTATAGCTTTTACTTTTTATTATTTTAGAATGAGTTCTTTGAAGATTTTATGTCAACTAGGCTATTAGGCATAGTAAAACTTAAGCTTATCTTCATAATAATAGTTAAATATATAAATTGAGTAAGTAGATAATTCTTGAAATTTGTATAAATTTAAAACTATATTTAAATTTAGAAAAAAAGTATTATTTGTAATTGAAATTTTTAAACACATAAGAAGATTTTACAAATTTAAAATTTGATAGGCAAGTATGAGGTAATAAAAAGGTTGTAAATTTGTATAATTCAATAAAATTATACATAGTAAAACACAACCTGATTAACATAGAGGCAACTACAAATGTATTTAACAGTTCACTAAATCAAAAGTTATTGGAAAATATGATTAAAAAGTATAAAATAGTAGAACATAAATTAATGAATAACTAATAATAAACATAGCTTAAAATCAAATAATTTCTTAATCACACAATAACTTTAACAAATAAAATGCTATTTTAAGATCAAAATAATCTGATTGAACAAAAAAAGAACATTAAGGCTTTTTTCTAATTAATTTTATTAGTTTTGATACAACATAATATGAATATTAAACACAATTAGAACAAATTTAATCTATATTAAATATTAATATAATTGTAAAAGGAAATAAAAAATATTTAGTACATATTATATAGAACTCAATACATTCAATAATAAATAATTAGTATAATATTAAAATCATTTTATATTATCCTTATTTTTTTTTAAGAGCTAAAATTTTGGAACACAGTTTACTTAATCATATGTTAATAATAATATTACTTCATTTTTTTTAATTAAATTTTGTATGCACTGTTTCCTATCTCTTATTTTTGTCTTGTGAATATTTACATTCAAATTCAGATGAAATTAAGATTTAAGTAGATAAAAAAAAAACAAATTGATAACAAATGTACGATGGTGGGTTATTTATAATATTTTAAAATATTAGTAACAAGTCCATTGTATCTATATGATCAAGTACAGTTTTCAATTAATTTGTTGTTTGAGTTTCGTTCAAGAATAATATACCAATCAACCTCATAAATATTACTATCAATACTATCTTATATTTTTAAATATTGGCTTAAAAATTTAATAGACTGATTGAACATGGCATTGATATTTATTAACAATATGACATTGTGTACATGTAAATTATGCACAAACTAGGTAAATTATCTATTGATGACCGAAGATTGTAATCCCTTAAAATGTATTGGAATTTGGAACCTATTACTCAAAATCATAACATAATCAAAAACATAAAAAAAAATTAAATTGTATTTATTTGATTTTCACACAACAAAAATACTACAAGACCAATATTAATATTATAAAAGAATATTTCAAACAATTCACTATCAACATCTAAGCTGCAAATTGTTCTTTTTAGTTGTTAAAATATTCACACTGTAATAAAACAAATTACTTGGATGACAATATTGTGATGATAATTGGACATATTTTGAAATAAGGTGTGAGCACAATACCAATCTTATGTTCAAAAACTATTACTCTAGAACTTGGAGAATTGTTACAATTTTAATCAGCTACAAATGTATCTGAGACACGATAAGACAACAAAACAACAGCAATAGTAACTGAAAGCCAATAAAATTATTAATAAAATTTAAATACAAAAAAAAAAACAATAGGTATAATATCCTAGGAACAAGTTGTTTTCATACCAATGCTCTTAAACATACATTTTTTTCGTACAAAACGAATCTATTAGTAAACTAATTGCTTAATGAACTTCTAAACTTAAAATTATTTTTAAAAAAATTGAAACTTTTTAACAACATGATTAAATTGTTTAATCGAGTCATTATAAAGTATTATAATTTAATTCATAATTATAATTGCACATCATTTTAAAAGTACTCTGTTGTACATATACACACAGAAAAGTAGAACTATCAAAAATGTTTCCATAGTAAAAATCTAACAAAAACTATTGTTAACATTTTTCTTTTATTAAATATCTATTTGTTTTATTTTTATCATTGTGTGAGGCATGCACAATAGAGCAAACTTATACATACAATTTTAAGTCTTAACTTGGAAATACATTTTTTCTTATAATATTATATTTTATGTACAAGTACAAGGAGTTAGGTGCAGCAGGTGCAGGCACTTACGGTACAGTTATGAAGTGCCTTGATATGACTAATGGGCAGTCAGTGGCGGTGAAGAGGCTGCGTGACACAATGACTGGATGCCGAAGTGCCCAAGACCGCCGGCACTGCGAGATGATGGTCCGAGAGATATGTCTGTTGCAGGCACTCAATGATGATCATGTGGTACCAATGATTGAAGCATTCAGGCACCAGGGTCACGTTCATATGGTGTTCCCATTGATGCGGTGCAATCTTTACAGATATCTGGAGCTAAACGGTGGATCCTTAACAGTAGATGCCACCAAAGAATGTGTATACCAAGTAAGTATATATTCCCATGAAACTACATAACCAACCTAACTTTATCTGTTCAAACCTTGGAAAAAATTCTAAAGGTATTAAGAGGACTGAACTATGTACATAGCCAGAATATTGTGCACCGCGACGTCAAGCCAGAAAACATTTTGCTGTCAGCCAATGGCATAATCAAGATCTGTGACTTTGGGGTGTCTCGCATGTTTAGCACAGACCAAACACTAGACCTCAGCAATGAGATGGGCACTGTTTGGTACCAGGCCCCAGAAATGCTGATGGAATCAACAAAATATGATGCTACTGTAGACATTTGGTCAGTCGGTAAATGTAACAACCATGCATATTATATACATAATACATGGATATTCAATGGCATTTTATAGGCATTTTGTTCACGGAATTGATCGACAAGATGCCTCTTGTAGCTGAAGATACAATTATCAGTCAGTTATATGGCATTACAAAAAAATTGGGATGTGAGAACTGCGACTTGATAGTTGTAGACAAGTACTTACGCAAACACGGTTTTAGCCTTAATTTAGAGGCTAGCTATGCACCATTGTCTCAATCTTACATAGTCTCAAAAACTGCCATGGCTCTTCGAAAAGTGTATGCCTATTGGCCAATATACCTGGTAGAAATAGTGACATATTGTCTGCAGTTTAACCCAGTTAACCGCAAGAAAGCTGCACAGTTACTGGACATGAAGTTTTTCACAGCCGGAACATTTTTGTCACGCTTTAATAAGGAGATTAAAATCAAACTTAAAAACGACAATGCAAGATACCAATAAAGGAAATAACCATTTATCGTTGTACAACGAGACATTGCAATAGTCTACTATATAACAACTATCTTTATCCAACGAGTCTCCATTTAGTAGGTTGTGTGCACTCAATGTCATCCCCACAAAAGCTATTAAAAGTAGTTTCTACTGGAAATCCAAGAATTTCTCTCTCTTCTTGGATTCGGAAAGAAAATGTGGATTTGGATGTTCCAATGAAAAAGCTAAAAGGAATAAAATGATTTTAAAATGTTTGTAACTTAACCTTAAAATAACAAGAATAAGAAACTCACTTTGCTTGTGAACATATTATTTGATCAATTATTGCTATTCCACCGTCCAAAAATGTGTTCAAGGTCTTCTTATCAGCTTCAAATTTAAACACTTGATAAGGTTTCAAATAATTTTTAAGTTCTTCAACTTCTAAAACAAAAATTATTCATTCAACATAACATTGCAACTATATAAAAATCAAAAAGAAATATTTGCCTGTTTTTGAAGCATCCGTCGCCACATAAACAGTTTTAATATTATTCAACAAAATTAATTTCTCTTTAATCTGTCTAGCTGTATTTTTAATACTGGGCACATCACTAGGATGACCGTACAAAAAATCTCTGCGACGCAAGTGTGCACACAAGTAATCTTGTTCTAAATTTATTTTCTTAAACTCCATAGCAATTTCATGCAGGCTGTTACTGAAATGCATACTTTTACTAATCACCCAATACTCATGTCCACCATAATAATTGTGCAATGCCAACTCTGCATGGTCAAAAATCATAGTTCTAATGTAAAAACAAACAAAACCATTTTAATTTAACATAGCAACTAATAAATATATAAAATATACTTAACTAAAAATAATTACATAAAAAAATTACAATATGCACTACAAACATCTAAGTTTCTTTTCTGTCTGACAGTAATAACAGAAAATAATTTCACAACGAATAAAACTAACAATTAGCATTTACCATTAACATTGAAACTGAATTTTTTATTTACCAAATATTCTTGGATAATTATATTTAGAAAGTATTACACTGATTTTAAATTTAAAACTTATTTAAAAAGTTATATATTTTATTCATATTTTTGTTTTAAATAATGATAATTAATTTAACACATTTATGAAGTCTTCGACCATAATAGTATCAGACATAACTTAAATGGTTTAACTTAACAAGTTTATTGAAATATTATTAGTTAATCTGATTTGTTTCAGTCATAATAAACAAATATATATGGTGTGTAAAATATCTTTATATTTAATTATTGAATCTGTTACCTTGGTTGTAACTCCTGAACAATGTCAGCTAGTAGAGTGGAAATTCCTTGGAACGATATACATAATGATTTGGTAAATGTTAGGTTGTTTAGGTTCCAAAATTCTTTTTGGACTTGGCCTTTGCAATTGTCTACTTCCCATTTGTCTGAAAAGTCTGGGTATTGTTCAAACGACTTCACATTGAAATCTTGTAACGTAAATTGGGCATCCAATGGTCTTAATCCGTTCACTAATGTGTCAAATGTTATAAGGTATTAATATTATGGTAAATTATGATCTGAGTAAAAGACTTCTTGCATTTGCATATTCCCTAACTATAGCTATAGAATATTTAGATATAAATTTGTTTTGAGACATAACAAACTTATATGCAAACATTTATATAGGTACCATATTTTTTAATATTTTGCCATTTTTTAAGCAAAACTCATATTTTACAAATGTTGGCAATGTAAAATATGATTTTAAGCATTTTTAAGCATTTTCATGTTTTATTTTAGGTAAACAAATTTTATTAGTTCATACTATTTTGTTTTAATGTTAAGAGTTGATAGAGATTGACAAGATATAGTACGAGTCATACCATAATCATATTTTGTTTTTAATTTTGAGAAATTAAGGGCAGACAGGTGATATTTAGTTACTCAACATTAACAATAAAATTAAAATTCAATAAATCAAGATTTTTTTTAAGTTATTTAAAAACAATTTAGTTGCATATTTCAATAATTATTTGATGTATATATTTTTAATAATTTTAGTGCTATAAGTCCCAAACTATAATTATAAAATATTTAAAAAATGTAATATACTTTGGAAAAATTCATGTAATTCAACAACTGGAGTACTTTTTTTAATGGAATCCACATTAAAAAATAGACTCCACGGAAGACGGTCTTGCACAAGATTTGATGATCTCCAATGATATAAACGATGCCATGGTGGCAACACCTATAATAACAATTTAACAAAATCTACAGTTAAACCTATTGATATTGGAAAATATTTTTAAAAAACTGTTTACCAAAATCCAATGATAATTAGACACCTTATTCAAATGATGTATAAAAGATGCCATTCGTATGAAAACATCACGGCGTAAGTTAAATCCTTCAGGTTTGTTGACATCATACAAAATATATCTAAACAAAATCAAGTACCAATCATTGTATTACACAACTATATTAAGAATCACAAAAATTAAAAATATTATTTAAATAATTTGATAAGATTATCATATTTTAAAACTAGCTTTTTGAACACTGTTGTCTCACCAACACCACAGATAATTTAAGGAAAATGTGTAGATAACTTCTATCACATTTCAGTATTTATAACAAAAGATGAAATATACCATCATTTTAGGCCTAACTTTATGACCGTTGAAACACATTTTCTCAACATCTATCTACCTATAAATTATGATGATGCTTAACTAACCGAGGCAATGAGTCAAGTATAGAATGACCAGCCAATGTTTCTTTTTCGTCCAACAGACGGTTGTCAACAGTACACTTTAAACACCTGAATTGGATAACAGTCAACAAGACTAACGCGTACCAATTCGTAGTGTCCAAATGCATGGTTTGGAGATTTTTAAATTTTAAACTAAATATTTAACACGCGATGCTTCATGGAATGCGGACAACATCATGACTGCCGGCAGACGGTCGTCTCACACAAGCAAATAATTAAACAGCATACAAATCAATAAACCTCTTGCAATATTAAACTTGGTAATTCGCGGCAGCCACTCGTTTCGTCGACGTAAGAGAGTTGAAGAGACTGTAAGACCAGCGGCCGCGGCGCCGCTGCCTCCTCAGTTACAAAAAATTAAAATAATATTATTATCTTATCACAGTATCACACAGCATTCTTGTCGTGACCATAGATGTACAATACTACAATCATCCGAGGTGCGATCACTCACGTCGAGTCAGTGGTCACGAAAATACTATAGACCAGGGGTTTCCAAACTAATTGATGTTTTGAAAATATATTTTGTAAATTAATTACTTAAATTAATTCTTAGAAATCTTTAATTTCATTACCTCTATATCTCTATCAAAAAAATGATAGCCCCTCATGCCGAAGTGTATCACTGATTTGGCCCTTCGTAAAAAATGGTTGGAGAGTGGAGACTCCCGCTATAGACTATAGTCGTAAGTTGTTGTTCGATGTAAAGTAGAATGGCAGTGGTCTAACTACAATTAAGTAGTGGTATGGCCTTGAATCCGTGGATAGGTCATAGCCACAATAAAAGATTTATTTTATTGTGGTCATAGTAGAGTAGACTATAATAGTTGTAGCACAGAACAATGATAGTAACAATAGTAGAGACAACAGTAAGTTGTAGGATAGAACATATTAATATGTTATGTTAATAATATTAATTATTATGTTCTATGGTTGTAACACGATTATTAAAGATATATCTATAATTGTGGGCTGTAGATGGCTATAGTTAGAGAGCCTTAATAATTATTATTATTGAGGCTCTCTATATAGTTGTAGTCAACTCATCAAATATCGGTTAAGAACTCAAGTTGTAACAGTTGTTCTATGGTTGTAGGTACCGCGTTTTGATAATTATTATTTATATTTATCAGCTGACTGGCATATCACAAACTTATTATTATTCTCATATCAGACGTAATCATTTGCATGCAGTGAAATCAGTCAACACAGATTTCTATATAATTATATAATATCATAGAACAATAATAATAATATATATATTACAATTTATAGTACAAAAATCTGCGATTGTCTGTGTTTATACGAAAATGGTAGTCAGTAGTGTTACTGGAAAAAAAAATCAAAGTAATTATTGCTACAACGATTTAAACAACAATGTTATGAGAGTTGTAGTTTTTCAGTTTCATTGAGCGCAGCCCTTGCAAAATATGTCTTTCAACTCGACTCATCATCTTCGCATCGTACCGTTTTTGGATTCAATAGTATGAAAACTCTAAGCTGTGGCCCAGACTTAACGCCATCAGTTGTTTGACAGCAAATTTTTGGATCAAAAATGTTTTGCTGCAATAGCTTTAGGAAGCTGTGTGTTCAAACGCGTAGTTTGCACGTGCAGCCGTATGGAAAGTATAAGCGATATTCGTACACCTGTCTCATGCCCACAGCAGCCCATCGGTACCGGTCTCCACTTGTGGTCAACAATAGAATTAGCCATCTGCAATCATGCAAAAAGTATTTCAGGTATACTTGGAAAGATACTATGAAATTATTTTATATTTTAATTGGAAACATTTTTGTTTTAATTCAGTGTTTCACCTGTCAACCGCCTTCCATTGCCTCCAATTGCAGCAATAATGTTGCGCCCAGTTGCCAAGTTTTTTGCTATGATGTTAGGCATACGTATACGCCGCTGGTGGACAAAGCTGAGTGCAAAAGAGAAACAACAGTTCTGGTTCAACGTACACAAACGCCGCAAGCAAATAACTGCTGCCATAGCTACTGTTATTGGTTTATTTCTTGTATACTGTGCTACTCACATGGAGTTTGACCCAATAACTGGTAAACGTCGGTTAATTCTTTTCACACATGAACAAATGGTAGAGCTAGCAAATTCAATTGCTAAAGAATTGTTAAGTGAAAACCAACAAGCTGTGTTAAATACTTCACATCCACTTTACAAGCGAGCTCTGTCCATAGCAATGCTGGTAATCAACGCCAATAAGCCATTTGACCGCTTGCAAAATCGAAAATGGTCTCTGGTAGTTGTCAATGATCCAAGAATTAACGCTATGGTTTTGCCAAACGGTATGATAATAGTCTTTACAGGGTTACTATATGCAGCTAATGACCAGCAAGTAGGTGTAGTCTTGTCGCACGAAATTGCGCATTGTTTTCTTGATCATCATGCAGTGCGTTTGAGTCGAGAACATTTACTTGAAGTGCTTTGGCTTCTACCACTGACCATAATGTGGGCTGTGTTTCCAATGCCAGAAGCTATTTTAGGTTATGTATTCGGTCATTATTTTAAAAGCATAGCCATGTTATTGCCCTATGAACGTGATCAAGAAATTGAAGCTGACAAATATGGCTTGATGCTAGCCGCCAATGCGTGTATTGATGTTCGTCAAGCTCCAATTTTCTGGAAGCGAATGGAAAAGCTTGATCCAAATAATAATGAAACATGGTGGTTATCCACTCATCCAACTCACAGGAAACGTGTCAAATATATTGAAGACCTTTTGCCATATGCGTTACAATTAAGACAACAAAATGGATGTCCGTCCTTAGATAGAAGTTACTGGTCAAGATTCTCATTGTTTTAACAATTTTGAATTGTAGTCCAAAAATTATAAATTGCTTATATTATAATATGGTGCTTTTTATTAAAAACATAATTTTGTTATGAATTATGATCATAGTATTCTGATAAATTATTTGTATACATAAGAGAAACGAATGTTACCATAATTTACTTTTGTTTTGTATATAATAACTATATGGCTCTGTGCAGGGGCGGATTATTGATATTTTTCACTCTACAAAATATAAATCTAAGCAGACCAAAATAGCCTTTTTTTCTTTTTTAGTAAAAAAAATTGTTCCCTGGTATAGCCTTATATTTTAATTTTAAAGAGAGTTATGAGTATTTAAAAATTATAAATTGTATGTACAACTTAAAATACTCATAACTCTCTTTAAAATTAAAATATAATAAAAAAAACCATGAAAAGACCTCCGTAATACTCTTTCCTTTAATTTTAATAAGAGGTTTTATTAGAATCAATTCACTCTAATTTTTAAGCTAACTGAGCTAAACATGATCAGCTAAACGTAAAATTTGATATGTTACGCTCTTGTAAGACGGAGACAACACATGCGGGTATAATGTCCTCTTAATAAATAGATATCTCTCTAGTTAGAGCCACTAGTAAGTAGTAACAACATTGTGTCTTTATGCCGAGAGTTATATTTTGTGATTTTCATATGGATACTAACCTTCCCCTAATCCGGCTGAATATCTATGTTGAATTTCAAGCAAATCTGAAAAGTAATTTTAAAGATTACGGATGCGAAAATAAGCGACATCCATTTTTATTTATATAGATATTTATAGAAAGATAGCTAGATAAATAGATAGGTAGGTTTTTTTTTTTTTTTAAAAGATGTTCCTAGCCTTGGCTATCTACATCTATTGGTGATTACAATGGTACAATTTTTAACAGTTTTAACATGATAATTAATTAGAATAATAAAAATAGAATAATTAGTAAGATAAAATTACTAACTAATATATACTGTATGTACAATATTGAATATAATAATAACATTGGTAGTAGTTACGCTGAGTCGTATTATATATTAGCTAATGTATATTGTGTATAGTTGTTAAACCAGAAGGTCATGCGGACGTCCACGTTTTAATCTACGTTGAGGCGGATGTACGTGGAGGTTATAGTGAAGTGAGCCAGAGGAGTTGAGCAGAGAGGTATGGAAGTTTTTTGAAGACGTTTTTATGTGGTCTACGATTTCCTGGACCTGAAGATCTTTATGTAGGTTTACGTTCCTTATAAACCAAGGTGCGTTTGCAATAATACGTAGCACTTTATTTTGAAAAATTTGAATTTTTCTGATGTGAGTGGTCGCGCATTTCCCCCAGACCGGACATGCGTAAGTGCAGAGTATTGGACGTAAGATTTGCTTGTATATAAGAAGAGAGCATTTTATCTGTATTGAAGATTTTTTATTGAGGATAGCCGATAGGGTACCTATAACATAGAAAGGCGCTGATATGCCTGTTGAAGTTTGGACGAGATATGGGGCTGCCAAGTTAGCCGTTTATCCAATACCAAGCCAAGGTACTTCACTGACGAGTTCCAAGGTATATTTACATTGTTAAAAGATAGGTAGCCAGGTAGATATTATATAACTATTTATAGAATAAATAATAATAATAAAAAATACTAATTTCTACTATAATAATCTGTAACCAATGGCAACCATTTAAAAACAAATATTTCGATTTCTAGTAATATTAGTTATTAAATATAGACATATAGTTTTTGGATCCAAACAAAAACAAATTTACATATAAATTTGATGTAAAATTCTTATTTTTTACAGTTTAGGCATTTATTTAATAATAATAATAATAAATTATCCCTAAAACATTCTGTAATCTGTATAAAAGTATGTTTTTGTTTCTTAAATTTTTAGGGGGGTTTTAACTTCAAATTATTTTTTTTTTTTGGGGGGGGGGGCTAAGCTTAACCTAACCTAACCCCCCGATCTCTGCCAATGGTTTTTTTTTTTGTTTTTATTAGCTTTCGGTATAAAACCATTATAGCTCAACAATTACTATTAATATATAATACAGCAGCAAGTACAGGATTACATAATAATATAAATAATATAAAGATTATAAGAAGTAATATAAAATATAACAAGATTGCATGTTAGCACAAATAGGATATAGCATATAACATTGAATACAATAATATTTATGGTGCATTAATTTTGTGTAGAACAGCTGTAAGCAGAGAGAGGAGGGGGTTAATTAGTGAGGATAGCTCGGACAGAAAATTAGATAATGTGGAAAGGTTATTAAATGAACTTAACCTATTGTTATTTATAGTAGCATTGATATCATTGAGCTTGGAAACAAAAGCCTATGGGTTTATGCGATAATCATTAAATAAATGGTTTGGTCTAGAACTAATACTTTTAAGTACTATTTCAGTCCTCGCTTATAAAGAACCAACGATTTTCTTATGATGATATTATTTTGTTAGGTGCAATTAATTGTTGGCTATGAAAACTTTTAACGCTGAATACTAATAAAAATATATTAAAAATTATTATTAACTACCCTAACTTTTTGAATAATTTATATTTCAAATAATTTATATACTATTACTAAAAAAAAAGTAAAAACCAGTGCGAATCACTTAATATAATTTTATGATCACAAATTTAAATTTGTTATTTTAATGAAAATGAAATAATTTTTAATTTACATTTTTTAGAATTTCTATTCGTTAAAAAAATGCTTTTGGCCCCGGTTATTGTTAAAGTTGTTACGTCACGAGATGTTTATTTACCTTCTGAAATTTGGAGGGACGTTAACCATAAATCCAATAAATTTCCAACAATATTATTTTTACTTATATTTGCATAAATTCATAAGTTTTTGAATGTACAATTGAAAATTGAATAAAATGTTGGTTGACTACTAGAGGTTTATACATGATTTATTTAGGTTACTTAACAAAATAACATAAAATGAATAACATAACATATTAATCATACAATTTAAGTATGGATATTTTTACTACGTTCTTACAAAAAGCATTACGCATCGGGACGATAAAGCTTAAGCGTAAGATCGACCGATCGACTGTCAAAGTGTCAAAGATGTACTCGCGAATGTCACATTTATGATATTGTGTCGATTCTAGAACATTCAATGGAAACACCAGATCGTTATCGAATCGGTAATCCCGAAGACCCGATAGGTGCTCCGCCGAATATTCTCGAATAGATGCTAACAAAAATAAGAGTTCTTAGTAAGTATTGTTATATTGATTTGGTATTTTTCCGATTGCCGATAATAATCAACGAGAAGGGTAGAGAGTCGTTATAACAATTCGGTTATGAATGATACAAACGAAAACACTATGCGACGCCGAAGCAGCGGGTGGTAAAAGTACCTTGAAGAGCCATTATAATTCTTCCTACATTCTCATTTCTAAGAAACCTGTTAGGGTTTTAAGATGCTATGAGTACATACAAAGGGGCTAAGTATCTCTACTACCCTAATATAACCCACATTACGAGCGTGGGTCGGAGGATTTTTTTTGGTCTTGGGCACATACATTGTACAATGTACGTCCGTGGTAGCAATATCTTATAGTCGATGGTCGGGAGAAGTAGAGTGTAGGCCCAGTGACGGACACAAAGAGGGAGGGGTGGTTGAGACGTAAGCTGACCCACAGATATTTTGTCGCAGTAAAATGTGGCTCCTCAAATGACAAACTACTTAGAATTTTTATATTTGAAAAAATATGTACAGTAATCAATAATAAAATAATATTAAATAATAATTTTTAAAATGTACACATGCTCAAGAATGTTTCTATGAAGATAATAAGATATAGTAAGGTATACATATATAAGTATACTATGATGTATAAAATATGTAAATACAGCAGTGGTGACATTTTAGTTTAAAATAGAGAGGGTAAAAGCCAAAAGGTAACTGGTGAAAATGTATTTTTTTAATTTACAAATAAAAATGCTACTGAAAGATTGGTAGGGTATAATTATAATTATTACTTTATTTAATTATAAAAATAAAAATTTATTATATAAGAATATGATCCCACAACGTCTAACAATCTTTCAGTAGCATTTTTATTTGTAAATTAAAAAATATATATTTTCACTTTATTGCCAAAATAACTGATGATACGTTTTATAAATAACAATAAAAAAATATATTATATATGTAAAATTAACTATAACGTAAATAATGAAGTTATTGAATTATATTATTATTTATTTCTCATACTGCCATTGATTAAAAATGTAAATCAATGGTATAGCAGCTATACAGGCTACAATACTGATGAGGGAAAAATTGAACTAGTGACTATATAATGACAAGTCTCTGCTATTACGACACTAATGCTGGGTAATGAATTGCATGAACAATCACTAAACATTTAAAAGCTAATGATCCTTTAAACATGATTTAGTGGCCAATGATTAGTCCATTAAATTAATTAATTGTTCATGCAACCCGGCCCTTGTGATTTATTAATTATTGTGGCTCTACAATTCGCGTCTTTGCGTACTAAGTAATTATCAATAACTCCATAATTATGAATAAAGAGTGAATGTGTAGCGGGATTTTACCGTACGGTCATTATCATTATTATTATTATTATTTTTATTCTTTTATCACAACGGTGTCGGAATGTCGGATGCTATCTAAATAGTAGTAATATAATATACTCCGGCGGTAATGTGACCCGCGATCGCTTCGTCTTCGTCAGCATTTATTCTGATTATTATTATTGATTTTAAGTATAATATACTCTCTGTCAGGCGGTCCTAAGAGTGGCAGTATACTGGAGGCAGAGTGTTGAATTTTTTTCTTGTTCATTTAAGAAGAATTGTTTTTTATTAATGCTCTAATATACGCTGACTAATTTAATTGTTATTATTCTAAGTGCCCTCTTTACTACAATATATATATTTTTCATTAAAGTAAGTAAATTCGTAATTTATACTTGATATATTGTTACAGATACTGATCCCACTCACCGATACTGCATACAGACTTAAATCATATAATATTGCTATGGACT